ATCATTCTGGCTAATGTGTGAGTGGATTGGAACCAGGTAATACAAAGGCAGTAAACTGTTGTTATAATCCAGAAGTTACGATGGTTGCTGGGACTATGGTTGTGGCACTTAGTCATATAGCCAGAAGAGATTAAAAGGATGCAGTTCATGGTTGAGAGAGGAAGAATCAATGATCAGATATCTGGCTGGCAATACTGGGAGATTATTATTATTATTTTATTATTATTTTGATACCGGGGATCAAACTCAGGACCTTACACTTGCCAGGCGGGTGCTGTGCCGCTGAGCTTAATCCCCATCCCAGAAGATTATTATTAATGACAAACATTGAGTTCTATGTGCCAGACACTCAGTAGATGACACACTAATTAAATCTTCACCACAACCCGTAGACACCATCATCTTATTTTACAGAGGGAACAAAGGTTAAATGACTTGCCAAAATCATGGCTAACTCCTGATTTTCTCCCTCGTGACTAGGGATTGAACCCAGGGCCTTCCTTACTCATGCCAGCTATGTGCTCTACCACTGAGGTACTTCTCCAGTCCTTTTTACTTTTTTTATTTTGCAGCAATGGGGACTGAACCCAGGGCTTCATGCATGCTAGGCAAGTCCTACAGGACCGAACAGCTGCCTGCCCAGCTCTTTTTCTGACCCAAGTGTGTCATCTACTGAGTGTCTGGCACATAGAACTCAATGTTTGTCATTAATAATAATCTTGCTAAATTGCCCAGGTTGGCCTCAAATTTATTTTTGTTTGTTTGTTTGTTTTTTGGTACCAGGGATCGAACTCAGGTCCTTTCGCTTCTGTAGCAGGCGGTGAAACCACTGAGCTAAATCCCTGGCCCCTGACCTCAAATTTATGATCCTTATACCTCAGCCTTTGTAGTAGCTGGGATTACAGGTGTGCACCACCATACCTGGTAGAATTCTGATTTTTGACCAAGTTAAAAAATTTTTCATATGTAAGCTGGCACATAGCAGAACCACCACTATTTTCCTTTCTCTTCAGTTCCTTACATTAATACACCACTCCTTTACCCCTTTAGCTTACTAGGACACAGTGAGTTAGTTATTCCTTAGAATTTTCAGTTAACATATAGGCAAACTCTTACTTTCCACTTAGTGTACTTTTTTTGCACTTCGTGAAAATGTGAAAGTACAATGCCAAAGTTATTCAACTGATCTTAAAAGGTTATGTTTCCAGAGTACATTATAAAATATTTAACTCATGACTGGAGCAGGCCGGCCAGAGGCACTGCACTGAACTGCTGGGGATTGCACAGGTGCCCGGGGTGGGGTAGAAGTACTTCTCTACCATCTGTAACTGAGTAAGTACTCTCCTAAATCACAGGCCCTCAACCAAGGCAGGGGCAAAATAACGCAAAACCCTCCTCTGAACCACAGCACAGGCTTCCTCTGGGTTCTCAGAGCCAGGTTTTTCTCCCTGCCACAGAGAAACAGACTGGAATCTAGCCAGCCAACTGACACCCATTATGAGCCACCCTGACTATCTGCTAGGACTCAACATTGTTTACTGCTCTGGGGGACTGTGGACAACGATCAGGACTGGAGATTAGGACAAGCAAAGGGTTTTCAGAGACTAAGTCAATTCCAGATCTCAGCTATCCTTAGTATTTTAAATTTGTTTTTGAGACACCATCTCACTATATAGTTCAGGATGGGCTTGAGCTATTTAGCCCAGGTTGGCCTCCAAATCACAGTAATTCTGCCTCCATCTCCTGAATGCTGGGATTTCAGGCATGCACAACCACACCCAGGTATTCCCTTAGTTTTGTTTTTGTTTTTTTTTGGATACTGGGGATTGAACTCGGGTCCTTGAGCTTGCGAGGCAGGCAGCAGAACCACTGAGCTAAATCCTCGGCCCTCCTCTTAGTATTTTTGAGGGAGTTCAAAAGCTACCATATCCTCACAGAAATACTGCCAAGTAATAGGCCTAGTAAACATGCTACTGTGGCAAGTGACACCATTATGGCTCCAAATCATGAAAGTGATGTATTGCTTGGCACAGAGGCGCATATCTGCAATTCCAACACTCTGGGGGCCCAAGGCTGGAGAATTGCAAGTTAGAACCCAGTCTAGTCAACTAAGCAATCTAGGAAGACACTGCTTCAAAATTAAAAATTAAAAAAGGGGCTAGGGATATAGCTTAGTGCAAATTCCTGGCTTCAATCTTGAGAGCTTGTTTGGAGGTCCTAGCAGGGGAGCGCAGCTACTCCTATACCCTTGACCGAGGAAACCAACCACCTCTGTTGGGGTGGTGTCCTTTTTGAGGGAGCACGCAGCTTGGGGAAGGATGTACATGGAGCTGTGAGGGAGGAAGGGGACATCCGCCTAGCTAACCAGACCAGCTGAATCAGCCCTGGCAATCAATGGGGTGACAGATATCGCAGCCAGATCGCCCTCACATCCCCTGGTTTCAATCTGTACTGTTCATCACACAAATAAACCCAAAGCATCAATGTCTAACTTGTCAAAATTTGGTTGTAAAATTTAACAACGTTGGAAATTTCCCCAAGATAAGGAAAGGATCTTCTGAGTTGTCTGAACTTGCACTGAGCTATGTGCTCACCCATTTTTTATTTTGAGACAGGGTCTTGCTAAGTCATTAAAGTGCCCAGGGTGGATTGAACTTTCAATCCTCCTCCCTCAGGTTTGAGAGTGCTGGGGCTGAAGGCGTGAATCACCAAACTCAGGTTTCTAAGCAATTTCTATAGATGGTCCAATAATATGCTTTATTTAAAAGCCTGATAAAGTTCTGAAAAACAAGGTAGAGTGTTTCTAGGATATTTTCTTGGAGGACTTTTTTCTTTTTTTCTTTTTTGAGACAGGGTCTATGTAGTTTAGGCAGCCAGGAACTCACTGTGTAGCCTAGGCTGACCTTGAACACTTGGCAATCTTGCTTCAGCCTCTGGAGTGCTGGGATTACAGGTGTGTGCCACCATACCGTTTTTTTGTGTGTTTTTTTTAATGGTACTGGGGATCGAAACCAGAACATTTTAAAATTTTGAGATAGGGTCTTGCTTAGTTGCAGCTAGCTCAAACTCAGACCTCAGGCATGTGCCACCACACCTGGCTTAATGAATGTGCATGGTAACTGAAAACAATGAAATATATTTAAAAGAACTAAAGCCAGAAATTTGAAGCCACTATATTATACCACAAGGGGGCAACGTTTGAACATGATGAAGCTGAAGTGTCCGGCTTGGCTGACTGACTGCTCTCCCTAACACCACGCGGATCGATGCAGCCTGGATGATAGGTGGGCTGTCTGCTTCTGCCTCCTCTCTGCTTCTCCCACAGGGAGAACTCTTCTGAATCCTGGCACCATAGCTGCCAGGACCAAGAGCAGAGGAAGCAGGCAGCAGGAGAACAAGCAGAGCACCCTTGGTCAGAGTAAACATCCAGGAGGGCGTGCTGCAGAGGCCCATGGGTGTGGGGGCTTCGACGCTCTGAGCCTGTACGGGGAACCCGAATCATTTCAGCCCTGTAAAGTGGAGTGCTGGGCTTCAGCCCCGAGTTTCCATTTGGAAGACTTAAAGTCAGGGCCCATAGTTTGCACTACAAACAAGTTCTCATGTGATGCTGATGCTGCGGGAACCGTTGCTATAGGGTGTTTCTGGCTCTGCAGCCTTCTTTTTCTCAACACGCCCCTATTTTGTCTTTCCTACCGCTCACCAACTGCTTCTCCCTTAACCTCCTTTAGGAAAACAGATGGAAAGAAAATAGAGATGAATATGTTCATCAAGTTAGTTTTTGAAGGGCCAGGGATTTAGCTCAGTGGTTCTGCCGCCTGCCTTGCAAGCGCAAGGACCTGAGTTCGGTCCCCGGTACCAAAAAAAAGTTAGTTTTTGAGACAAAGTCTCACTACATAGTCCAGGCTGGCCTCACACTCTGGATCTTCCTGCCTCAGCCTTCCAAATACCACTAAGCTGGTGCCACCACACCTGGCTTAGATTTGTCTTAAGGATTCCTTGAGGAATAACTCCAGCACTCTCATCTGGAGGTTAGGTATTTTATTTTACGAGACAGGCTCTGACTATACAGTTCAGGCTGGGCTTGAACTCATGGCAATTCTCCTCCCTCAACATCCTGAGTGCTGTGATTAAAGCATGAGCCACCATGCCCAGCAGGGCTAGGTACTTTAGAAGCAGAATTTACTCCAAATACACACATTCTTCCTTTCCTCTTTACCCACACTGGGGGAGGGGTAGTTCAAGAAAGAGTGACATGGGCTGGGGATTTAGCTCAGTGGTTCTGCTGCCTGGCTCACAAGCACAAGGACCTGAGTTCAATCCCCGGTACCAAAAAAAAAAAAAAAAAAACCAAAGAAAGAAAGAGTGACATGCTTAGCAGGGCCTGGTGATGCACACCTACAGTCTCAACACTCTGAAAGACTGAGGCAGTAGGATCACAAATTTGAGCCCAGCCCAGGCAAATTATCAACTTACTGAGACTCTGTCTCAAAATAAAAAATAATAAGGGCCAGGCATGTAGCTCAGTGCAAAAGCTCTTGGTTCAATTCCCAGTACTCCCTCCCCCAAAAAGAGTAACATTCTTTTCCAATAAGATTTTGCTTTGAAGCTGGATGTGGTGGTGCATACCTATAATCCCAGCACTTGAGAGGCTGAGGCAGGAGGATCAAAAACATTTTAATTATACTATAAACCAGTGGTGGCGAACCTATGGCACACGTGCTGCAGTGGGCTGTTTGTATCCTTGAAAGCTCTAAAAGCTATGCTATGCAGTCATTGCTCTGAACTTTAACTATTTAAGTGTTCAGTACAGCGGCATTAAGTACATGCACTTCTTTTGTCCAGCCATCACCACCATCCATCTTCAGAATTTTTTCAACTCAGCAAACTGAAACTCTGACCAAGACTGCTCCTTCCCCAGGGCCTGGCAACTACTACTTTGCTCCTTACTGCTTTTGGACTCAGTTCCTCTTTAATAAAAGAGAGGCTTTGCTGCTCACTAATGGGATGGTTCTATATATGCAGGCCTTCTTGCATATATGTAACTGAGTTTATTACAGAGAAATGGAACAAAATGGGTTTCAAAACAGAAGAGGCAGAAACACAAACTGGATGTGGACCTCCTATCCACAGGCCTCAGCAGCCCTGCCACGGATCTGCCCGATTTTTTCTCATCAGGAAGTTGATCTTTCGAGCCATTTCCATGTTGTAGATACGCCGGCAGTTTTCATAGCTTTGCCGCTGTCGGCGGCGGCAAGGCTTCTCATAGTATCTTCGTCGCTTAATGTCCTCAATGAGCCCATCCATGGTAAGGATTCTGTATAAACACAGGCAATGAGGTTAGAACCGTGGGCTCATTACTATTCGTTCCAGTTTCACAGATGGTCAGAAATCAACTGACCAAAACAACTGGTGTTTGTAAAATTTACAGTGGGAAATGGTGACAATATAAACCGTCTATAGAGGCCCAAATAAGAATTTGCAGGGAAATGAAAAAGCAACTACAAGGTTCTTGTTCTTGGAGAATTTAGTCAGTCATGTTCTCACATTTTTTCTACCACAGCATACTTGAGGAATATGATGCATCCCATATAAATACTAGCTCCGTATGGCAATGATTTCCAATCAGAGAGCATTTCAGAAACTCTGAATGAGGTGAACCATTTGTAATTATTATTATTATTATTTTTTAAAGGCAGGGTTTCCCTTTGTAGTTCAAGCTGGCCCTGAACTCACTACATAGCCCAGGCTGGCCTTGAACTCTTGGCAGTCCTCCTGCCTCAGCCTCCCGAGTGTTGGCATTACAGGCGTGCGCCAGCCGTTTCCAATTTTTAAAAACTCATTAAGGCTGGGGATGTAGCTCAGTGGTGCTACGCCGGCCTGGGAAGCGCAAGGTCCTGAGTTCGATTCCTGGTACTGGAAAAAAAAATCATTACGGGGAATTCCTACTTGGTCATTAGTGGAGAATGGAGTTCCATTTTCTTATGTTTAAGAATTGATACTTGAAGCCCCTGAGAAGTACCAGGGAAAGAGGTGGCCCTTATCACATTAGTGAAACAAATGGGAGCATTCAAAAGTAACAGGCTCACCCATCAAGTTTTCCACATACCAGATCCTCTGATCACACCGATCTGACCACCCGCTGGACATGCGCTGGGACTCAGGCTGTCTTCTCACCCCAGCTGCCAGCGTTTTGATGGAAATGTTCTCCAGTTTGATGCCAAGACCAGATGCTACCTCTCCACAAAATTTTCCCTTCTCCTCCTTCTCCGTGTGTGTTAGCACTGAACCAATAGCCTCCTACATATTAAGCATGTGCTCTACCTGCCCCTCATCCTCATCTTTTTTTTGTACTGGGGATCAAATGGGTCCTTGTGCTTGTGAGGCTGGTGGCAGAACCACTGAGCTAAATCTCTGGCCCTTGCCCCTAATCTTCTTCTTCTTCTTTTTGGTACCAGGGATCGAACTCTGGTCCTTACACTTGCAAGGCAGGTGGCAGAACCACTGAGCTAAATCCCTGGCTACCCTCATCTTCTTAAAGAAAACAATTTATTTTATTGTATATCTATTTGACAATTATTTCATGCTGCCATTCTGTAAATTACTGCCCAGATGTCTTCTTGAAGGCAGAAACCATATTTTATTCATATCAATCTTATATAGGTATCCATTAAATTGATCTCAACCTATTTCTTTCCTGCTCACCCAATTCCTTGCAATAGCTATTCATATTCAATTAATAATTCTAACTCAAATTCAACTCTGTTCTCACTGAGCCAAGAAGATACCGGGAACAATTAATCCCTAGGGACCTCTAGGGAGTTCTGGCTCCATCTACAATTTGCCTTCCCTCTAATGCCTCATCAGTTGGTCCTAAGGACTGGTGACACCTTGCACTGCCGCCCTCCTTTCCAGGCTCTGTTTACATGGCCCCGTTCCTGCTTACCTTGTCCTGTTATTACATGCAGAAAGTAAGTCACACACACAACTGGAGATAAGGGGATTGAGACATGGCTATTACAACTGCTAGAAGGGAACAAAAAAAACACAAAAACTACCAGCTTCTTTCGCCCAGTAGGAAACCCCATTTATTGCTGCTGTACTGCACCACAAAGTCCAAGATAACAATAGATTGAATATGAAATTGAAAAGAACTTGGCTTTAGGTAAATTACAAATGTGAAGGGACATTGGGACCACTGTCTCACAGGGTCCTGCTGTTTAATATTGGGAATAAGGGGTCAGGGTGCAGTGGTATAGAAACACTTGTAATCCCAGGTACTCGGGAGGCTGACTGAGGCAGGAGGATCACAAGTTTGTGGCCAGCCTAAGCAACTGTGCAGGACTCTGACTCAAAAAATAAAATGGGCTGGGAATGTAGGTTAGTGGTGGAGCACTTCTAGCACGTGTGACGCCATGGGTTCAAGGCCTAGTATCTAAAAAAATCCCAAACAAACATAGAATGAGATAGTTTGGTTGTACTGTGCTTGCTTAACACATAGAAAATCCTAGATTTGATGCCCATATTGGGGGGAAAAAAAGAGTATTTCCCTGGTGACTATGGGTTCCCTCATACAAATAGTTCCTGACAGGCCTTTCCATGGCCTGCTACACAAGACCAGGTATACCAGAGCCTCAGTTAAATAATGATTTGTAGCTGGGTGTGGTGACACATCCCTGTAATTCTGGCATTCAGGAAGCTGAGTTTGAGGCCACCCTGTATTACATAAGGAGACCCTGTCTTAAAACAAAAAACAAAAAACAAACAAAGAATGATCTGTATGCCAGGCATGGTGGCACATCCTGTGATTCCAGCACTCTGGGAAGCTAAAACAGTAAGATTGCAGGGTTTTTTGGTTTTGTTTTGGTTTTTGGGTTTTTTGAGACAGGGGCTCGCTACGCAGTTCAGACTGGCCTTGAACTCATTATGTAGCCCAGGCTGGCTGCCTTAAACTCATGGCAATCCTCCTGCCTTAGCCTCTAGAGTGCTGAGATTATAGATGTGCACAACCACACCTCACAGGATTGGAAGTTTAAGCCCAGCTTGAGTGACTTAGTGAGACCCTGTCTCAAAAAATAAAAAGGCTGGGGATGTAGCTCAGTCCAAAGACCCTGGGTTCAATCCCCAATACTGAAAGAAAAAAAGATTTGTAGGCTATTAGAGTCATTTTTATTTTTATTTTTTTGGTACTGGGGATCAAACTTGGGACCTTTTGCTTGTGAGGCAGGCGGCAGAACCACTGAGCTAAATCCCTGGCCCCTAGAGTCATTTTTATATGAATTAGTTTGTTGAGGGTTTTTTTTTTTGACACTCTAAATTCTTTAATTGCTTTAATGTATACATGATGATAGTTTGTTGAGGTTTTAGAGGCCAAAAGATGAGAGCTAAGAGAATTGCTGCAAACTCCCAAAAGCAGGGGAAGCAAATCACCGAAGGTGCTGTTGGAAACACCCACACCCAGAAGTCATGCAGCTGTCACACCAGTGCTTACAATGGAGTAGGGGAGCAGCAAAGTCCAAAAGACCTGCCTGGCCCATGAAGAGTACTTTTCCTCCAATTTACCCACAGATACCGTGACCTCTTCTTTTAGATTCTGACTATGAACCTCGGCCATTCTGGTTCTAGATGATTCTGTTAATGCACAATGGGAGCCTCTCCAAAGGTACCAGTGGCTGGCCCCCACCTTCAGAGTCTGCCTCAATAGCAGTCAGGCTATCCAGTGGGATTGTTTTTAAATTTCTTGGGTAATTTCAAGAGATCCTTCCCAGGTGACACTACTGAACAAGTGATCCAGACACCGTTGACTCCTTATCTTCAGCCCAATCCTATATTAAAGGGAGACTAGTATTTCCGACTGCCTCAAACCATACACAAAACTGAATTTTTCCCCTCCTCAAATTCGTTCAAAAATTGTAATACAGAGTGACAGGTGCAAAGACAAGGGAAACACTGCTATAGAGGCACACAGGAGGCCGAGTGTGGTGGTGCACACCTGTAATCTCAGCACTCCAAAGGCTGAGGTGGGAAGACTGCTGCTGAGTTCCAAGGCAGCCTGGGTTACACAGTGAGTTCAAGGGTTCAACTCCAGCCTGAACTACAAAGCAAGATCCTGTCTCAAAAAACTAAAAAAAGAGACATGAACAGAATTGTTTTTATGTTTCTCGGTTGATTCTAATATGGAGGCAAATTTGGGAACTACTAGTCTAAGCTCAAATAACTTGTCCTATAAAGCCTATGTTCTAGTCATGATGAAGTATGTACAGTTCTTCATATATCCTACTAGTTAGCTTTTATTTTGTTCATGATGCTCCCTTTTTTTTTTTTTTTTTGTACTGGGGATTGAACTCGGGTCTTTCTGCTTGCAAGGCAGGTGGCAGAACCACTGAGCTAAATCCCCAGCCTCTGATGCTCTCTTTACTTGGAATATCATTCCTTTCTTTTTCTGCCTGATAAAATCCTATTTGTTCTTCAAAGATCCAGATCAACTGTTATATCTGTAAACTGGTCTAAATGAAATCAATTACTCTTCCCTCTCTTCCCAAAGCACAATGATTCTCAAATTTTAGCATGCAGTAGTCACCTAGAAAGCTTGTTAAGACTGCTGTGCCATCTCCAGTTTGTGATTCTGTAGGGCTCAAGAATTTGCTTTTCTTTTTGGTACTGGGGATTGAACTCGGGTCCTTGCACTTGCAAGGCAGGTGGTGGAACCACTAAGCTAAATCCTTGGACACTTTGCTTTTCTTTTTTCTTTTGGTGTTGGGCATTGAACCCACAGCCTCAATCATGCTAAGCACACACCACAGTGAGCTACAGCCCCATGTATTCATATCAAGTTCCTAGGTGATGGTGTTGTTGATGATCCAGGACAAACCTATGCCTCAGCACACTGCTCATGCCTCTTAAATGATCGGGTCCTGAGCAGATAGTATATTTAACCATATTAAAAAAAAATTCCCACCCTTGTGCTTTCTAAAGTTTGAGATCAATTCTTTACTCATTTTTGCGTATATGATAAAGCTTGGCAAAAAGCAAATTATCAGTATATGCAAAAAACAATGAACCATCTAGATGATGGATAAATGTCCACTACACAAGGGATTAAGTAACCTTACAATACATAGAATTCTTGGGGACATTACTTCAGAAAGCGTCAATAATGTTACCTTTACTAAAATGGCACATTAGAGTTTAGATAGCAATTTTACACCCATGATTCTAATTACAATGCTATGAAATTGATTAGGTATTGTCATCTTCTTACAGATTAGGAAATCTGTAAGAAGTCAGAGAGGCTGACTTGCCCATGATCACAAAATG